AAGTTCACCTTGATGCAACACTATGAGACAGATACAAAAATGTCTTTTTTGTAAAAAACGGCAAGGTCTCTTCAAGATTAACGTGGTTTTATAACAATCACTTTTATTACAAAATAAGGAATTTAAGTAATTAGTTCAATTATTGTAACTAATTTTGACAGCTCTAATGTTAATTTACTAGTTTTATAGGCACTTTTATACGTTGGTTATGGGTACTTAAAATACAATTACAACTGTTATTTCCTGAAAATTCTTTATAAAGTAATCGGTACATAAAGCAATTTTTACTCTTATGTGGGAGTTATTAATAAGCGCGTAGGGTATGAAACAGCTATCAAAATAAACCTGTATTATAAGATATTTAGCGTAATTATTAAATTGGCTGTAAATTATTTTTGAAGTATTAATCGAAAATTGAAATAGGTAGACACTTTTAGAGCTAATAAATTACTTACTGCAAATAGCACTTAAACTATGAATATATTCATGAGCGACGTGTATAAAATTTTCTTATTATAGTTAGGATGAGTTTTGCGAGAATACAACTTTCCTTTTTCAATTTTCTTGTGCATGATGATGCTAAAATTTTCGTTGGTGTTTACCCCTTTTGTTATTATACATAAAATTCGACAAGCACTTTAGAAGGGACTTGAATAACTAATGATCTGGAATCTAGATGAATGTATTAAATATTGCTAAGTAGATCTATACTTCACTTTACATAGCAATATAGGAATAATTTATATTAAATACGCAATGTTGAATTCGATTTTAAATCATTCCGCCGATTTGCAATAATAAAATATTTAAAATAATGTCCTTATATGTTCAATATTTCCAATAATCATGCAGTAAATTTAACGTATATCCGCAGTTGTCAAGATTATGTAAATCAATTAACTAGTTTTTCTGGTAAATTATAGCAATTTATTATTCCAGTATGTCAAACAAACTTACATAATGCTAATTATATTTGCCTACTTCTGCAGGAAACGAAAAATGTTATAATTATGTAAAATGAAAGGAAATTAAGGAGAATTTCAAAGTTGGGAGTCTGTATAACCATTCTGTTCGTACGTTTAATTTAATTTCTCACATTAATCACCGGTCTATGATCTATTACAATTGCATTATACGAATTTGTACATCACAGAGCAAGTTATAAATAATTCGCTATTAAAATTCTAGTTACACCTGTTAAGCAATTAGTAATGTAAGACAGCATTAATCAAACAGTAATCAAGCGATGAAATAATAGAAATTATTTTCTTTTTGTTTATTACACAATAAACACGGTTTTTATCTACACAAGAAAATGAATGTTCTTCTCCTCTCGAAATACCTACATGGAAAATCATATTTGTGTTTGAATTTAAAAAGTGTGTTTACCTTTGATTGAAAACTTAGGGTCGCTTGTTCTTAAGGGCTCTTCGGAATATTGCCTCTGATGTTTTCGCTCGACTTTTTTCTCTGCTGGTACTGGAAAATTGGTGAAATAGAAAGTAGAAAAGACAGGCGAATTTCTAAGTATTGTTTCGAATACACTATAAGGCGATCTCTCCAGGAGTCGAATGAAGGACGAATAAATAATTGGCTTTTCATGCACCGCGCTCAATTGAAAAATTTGTGTACTTATTTGAGATTAGATTCTATCGAATTAAATCCTATTTAAAGGCTAACGCTGGCGGTGGTCAAATTAATTCAATTAAATAAAAGTCACGAGCCATCATTCCGTTACAATTAAACCTACAACGTTTCCATTGAACCGAGCACATAATCTCATTGTGGAACTATTCGTCTTAAAAAAATTCCCTGATGCGGTTGATTCATTACATCCCTATTCTAGCTCGTGAATAATATTTGAATATTTCCTACAAGCAAAAGGGATTCGAAATGTGACTCATATTGTACCTCGTCGAACGAATGGCATAGCAATATTGAAGTATTCTCGCATACCGTGACATCCGGAACTTCCGGACATTTATATTGTACGTACGTCAGTTGTTAAGAGCTGGAAATCAACAGAAGCGACAACCGTTTTATTCTGTGTATAAATGGATCAAGAAGTTGAAATGCGGTGGACTATTTTTAAAAAGCGAAATGAAAGCAGTAGCGCGCTGTATCTTCATGACGATTTTTTATGGTATCCAATAGACAATAATCCAGAAACATTCAGTACATAATATAACAATGCTTTTTTGTTTTTGACATTAATGTGGAGTTACTGATATTTCGTTAAATTTACAATATTGTGATTATTTCTTCAGATTTCCAGAGCGGATGTTTGTTAAAACAAATATCAATTTTTTAAATGGGATTGAAAAATTAGGATAAGACACTGGTGATGGTATAGATTTATCACTCAGCTTTGATGCTTTTTTATCTCATTCAAGGGACGGGTGCGAGTTCAGTCGATGAAAGAGAAAAATGTTTGTTTTCGGTTTTCCGAAAAAGCTTTGATAGTTGGTAACATTTGTGAAGATTCGAAATGTTACGTAAAAACACGTATGTTATAGTTGTAGAAATATGTTTTACATAATTAGTGGTAGGTTAGTATTTAATTTGGTTTTTCCAAGATGGTAAACAATGAGATTGTTACAATGAGATACATTAGATAATAAATGAGGAAAAGGTCTTCCTACCGCTCAATCATAATCATTTCTAACTTCCTTAATTAATTTCATTTGTTTAAATTAGCATTTATTACGAGATAAAAAATCTACTAAAAATCCTATTATTTATTGGTTAAAAAGCTTCACATCTAATTTATAATAATTATTATGCTTATAAATTAGGTACCAATTTGTTGCATTCAGGATAATTCGTTAAATTACAAGACAGGCATTTCAAGAAATATTTCACCTCTATAAAACAACCTAAATCATATACTACTGCAATGTTTGCTATTCCGTACGAGCTGCATTGGTAAATATCGATGTAAAATTAAGCACCGTTCCGCAAATTAATTTAAATTTATACACTCGATTGAACGGGTTCGCAAATAATGATGCTCTCGTATAAAGTAAATTCAATAGTCGATGACTACAGTTATGTTGACTTTTGATATAGGTCGTTGCGTGGTTTTGCAATACATTTTTTCAGAGAGATTCATTATTTACCCAACTCTATACATGCACATTCGTTTTTATTATAACGTGCTGACGAGCTAGCCTATTGTGCAACTCCCATTTTTTTCTCGCAACAAAACACAGAAATTACCCTTTCGGAGTATTTGGAGCACAGAATAATTACCGTGTTCTTGCTCCAACAAAAAAAGCAGAAACAGAAAAAAAATAGCGAGTGTATCCTGAGAGAGTTGGTAATTTAGCTTTCCAGTTGCATCTCCGATTCCCCGCGAATTCGCTCAGTACTCAGTAGTGTATAAAAAACCACGCATCCGTGAACTTAACCGCATTTCAAGAGTTAATCGATGATACGTCGATGGTCGATTTGCTCTTCTCTCATTTGCAATTTCTGTATAAAGCAACCAGCTCGGTTCTCGGCATGTATTTTGCGTTCAGAGCCACTCGATCGTTTTATTTGATTCCATGAAATAATTGGTTATATTTTGTACAGTAAAATAATTCTTTTTTGTTAGTTTACAGAATATTCAGAATAAATCTTAACGTATGAATCTCTTAAGCCACATTAAAGCGATGCAGTAAAATGGCTATTTGTAAGGAAACAGGAAAGTCACACTTTAGTGTGGCATAATTATTTCTCACTCGTTCCGTAATCGTTTAAAAAAATTACCTTCATTATAAAAGAATCAAATACATTTACTTAATTATAAATCGCTTTACAACTTTTTGTTTTATTCATTAATTGCGTTTTGAGATGAATTTAAACGCAATAAAAAACGGTTGAATTTTCATAAGAACAGCTTGCGTTCGTAATTCAATACTATCGGAGCACAATAGGTGGCAAATTCTTATTTCAGCTTTTCTGTGTTCAGCAAATAGGTACAAAGATTGTCGAAGGAAATGAAGAGCCTTGCACAAAAGCGGTTCCGAGTACACCGCGGGTCGAAAGATCACTGAGGAAATGCACGAATAAAACAAAACAAATTGTAGAGTATGTGCTTACTCAGTAAATTAAGAACGCGTATAAATAGCACGTATTCTTCGTGATGAGTGGTGAAAACAATTATGACAAATAAGGAAAAAATGTTATTCTATATGCATTATAATTTTATTTTATTCAACTACTTTTTATTTACATAATTCTATTTTTTTGTAAGATTTTAACTATTTTAAAATAGGAATAATCTGCACGAAAACGAAAGCCATCAATAATACATTTTTACAACCTTTTGAAACGCTAAGTCGGGCTCTTTATGCGGTCAAACACCGTAACCCACAGATTACATACGATGCATGTGCACGTTCAATTTACCAGTGTTATTCGATATGTTCGCAAAGTTAAGAACTCCAAGTCAATACCCCGTAGCAATTTCTTGGATATTTATTAGTTCCTAGATTGTTTTTTATTTCCTACAATTTATCTTGAATCGTCATGAAATATATTTAGTAATTAATTGAGCTTTTTTTAACTTGTAGAACAGCACCGGTTTGTTAAAAGTAGTGCAAGAAAGTTATGTTCAGAACGGTTTATTAAATTCCTTAATGAAAATGAAATGTAAACACGCAATAAAATTCTATTCGACGATAAAGTGTATTAAAGAAGAAACCAAGAACGCATAAAATGAACAATAATTTTTATAATTACGAGTACATCGTTACGTAAGTTAAAGGTAGTGAATTTCGTTTTTATAGTATATTACTCACTTAAACTTGAGTTCAAAATAATGATTTTTTAATACCTTTTGTATCCTTGACAGTCGTTTATTATCCTATTATTTTTTAAATAATCTCCAAACCACAAGCATTAAATTGAACAATCATACTCCTCTATTCTTATTATCTACTTTTGGTTGCGACTTACTTTTCTTACGGTAATATATTGGAAATACATTCCCTCTTAACCGACGCGAATTTCAGTTATCTAACAATGGACGACCCGGAAATACAAGAAACCGTTGAAGCCATACTGGGGCCGGGCGTCAAAGTGGTAGACTGCGAAAAGAAATCGAGCATAAAAGAAGAAGAGGTGCTCTACATCAACGGCATCCCCGTAACACTCGAAGGAAGCGACGGATTAGCCATAAAACAGGCTCTGGTTACCGGTCAAGTGCCTCCTTGCGACCTACTCAATACCCTGCTAATTAAAACCGGGATTTTAAAGGCCCCTGTGAAGTTGGATACGTCTTTGAGCGTCAAATCCACGACCGTCACAAAGGAGGAAGTTAAGGTATAAAACAAACCCCGCCGTAAATTTAATAACCCGTTATAATTTAACGAATCGTGTGCGAAGGTGTCCCGAGCGGGAAAAGTCGTCGACGAGCGAAGCAGGGAAATCAAAGAGCAGAATTTTTATTCGACCGCCCTGACGGAGGTGTTCGAGCCGATAAAAGTGATACCGACGTCGGAGCTGTTAAACGGCGCGTACCAGAACGTTCAGTACGCGGAGAACCACGCCAAGTACTACGACAACAATGGTTACGAGACGGGCAGCGAGAGGAAGTTCGGTTCTTGTTCCAGCGCGTCCAGCTACGAGTCGGAGGAGCCCCCGCAGGCCTACCAGCCTAAGCAGTGCTTGAGCAAGGATTCGGGGCATTTGAGCAGCTCGATGTCGGCGACGAAGGTCGATTTTACGCAGAGCTCGATCGATTCGCTGAGCTCTTTGGACGAGACGGATTATATCACTGATCAGTTTAAAAAGTGCGCTTTAAACAAAAACAGAATTAATGGTTATTTGAATGATTATAAACATGATAATATACTGGTAAGTTTTGGCACGGTGTCGTTGATATTTTTTTTCTATAAAGGTTAATTTTAATTTTCGCTGTACAACAGTTTTGTTTTTAACAACACTTTCATTTGCCAAATGATTTTTGGTCACTTCCAAATGTTTTGTTCTATTTTTAGCCTACGATATTCGGTACTGTAGCGTCAGATCTCACACCTAAAGATTGTTCCAACAGAAGGGTAAGTTTTTGAGAGTTTTCTTAATTAATTTGCATGTTACGTAGATTAATACATTGTAACACTGGATGGAATTGTACAATTTACCAGTTACTGTTTGGCCTTGATTAAAAAACTGCAACAGTGGTTAAAGATCAAATACAAAATAACACGTTATAAATTAATTGCGCAGGTTAATTCTATACACTTTGATCAATTTTGTGTGTTTTATATACACGTCACGCGAAATTTTTTTATTTTAAACTGTAATAGCTTAACCCGTATTGGGGCTTTGTTTGTGAAACGCTTTTTGTGCAAATTGCACGGTCATTACACCAGAATAATAAATGCCTAATAAATTGGCTCGGTTACGACCAAACTACTTCGTTACACAAAACCAGGCTATTTCTGATTTCAGTTACCTCGTGCTTGCTAATTACTTCCAGTGTTACAATAACCTTTCGAGTGTAGAGTGTTTTTTCATAGCCGTGCTCAAAAAGTGTCGAAATCTTGTTCCATTACCTAATAATTCATTGCTCTTATCAATTCTCTTCATGCACGTAGGATTTTGTTTTATATTAAAAACATACTTATTTACTAGTTGTTCCCAATGATTGTTTCCTTATTAATCGTTGTGGTTTGAATAAAACAACGTTTTATGTGCAGTAAAAGTAACGTTACATAAGACTTTTTGATCAATGTTTTTTTTTTTTGAGCGCGGCTTCGATTCTAATGCGTAACGCTAACAGTTAACATTCACACTTTAGAGTTTGCCGCAAACGCCACAAACGAAGAGTTTTTCGAATATTTTTAACGGCGAAGCCAGCCAAGAAGGTTCGGCGGACTCGAATTCGCAACAGGATAATGTAAGATTCGAACTATTTTGTATAATTCATGGTTACTCCAATATTGTGCTTCAATTACCTAAGTGTTCCAAACAGCAAAATTTGCAAGCTGTTTATCTGCAAGTAAATCGTTTTGCATTTTTTATTTTTTCTGAGAACATATTTCTGCTGACTGTCTTGGCAATTTAACGAAGGAGCAGCGCTTTTGATAAACAGATCTCTTTTATTTTATTTATACCGTTCCTGCTAAACAGGCTTTTATAAAAATACCACTGCAATTTGTATGCTCTTCAAAACTTGGCGCGATTATTTACTTGAAAATTGAAAAATACCCGTTTTAGTTCACGAAATGCTCAAGAGTTTAAATTCAAACAATAAAAATTACGTGCCGTCGAGTCGTTATTGCATTATAAAATATATTTACATGCATTGCTCGCCTTTGCTCCAGGAACAAGTAATAACTCCAGAATATTTACCGAGTTTCCGAGGTTTTAGCGAATTTACGATCACCACAGAATGTCTCTATTTTACAAAGAAGTTCCTTTGTATACTATTCGATAAATTTTTAATCTCCAATATTTTCTCTACGGAACAAATCTTTTAGCAAGTAATATTAGAACACTTATTAGTTAATACCCTTATGTAGTTTACAGTAATTTTAAAAGCTTGTTAACTGTATCGATTACTTAACGAAACAAAACCCGTCTAATACGATCGTGAATTTCCAAAGGCGCTGGTTTATCGAGATGGAAATTTGATCTCCGGTCCGTTGGAGGCGCTAATCCAGCACATGGTGCCGACCGATCAGTATTACCCGGACAGAGCGTACCTTTTCGCTTTTCTCTTGTCCTCGAGGCTGTTCATAAAGCCGCACGACCTCTTGGCCAAGGTGCGGACGCTGTGCGAAACCCAACAGGGTCTCGGCGGCAAACCCGCAGGAACGGCCTCGCAGGCACGCTTCGTCGAGCACTTGGTGCAATTGCTGGCCGAATGGACGGAAACTTTCCCTTACGATTTTAGGTAAGCGAGGATTTATTCGAATATTCACATTTTACACCTAACGCGCGTATTTGTTGTCACCGAATTATCTTTAGAATTACCGAAGCGTGTAATTGTTTTTTTTTTTTTTCATTACATAAGTTTTTTTTCCACTAAATTATTAGCATATTTTACATATGAAATACTTACTCCGAAATGTTTAAGTCGGTAAGAATGCGCTCGTCAGTACACTGTAATGGTAAGTGGAGTTATTAGCGTGTTTTTTTTAGGGACGAAAGAATGATGGAACACGTCCGAAAAATAACTCAACAGTGTTGTGCCATTAACTCGAGCTTTCGAGCGAACGTGTCCGCCCTCCTGCACAATTTGCATCCCAGACTGACGGCTCTCGAGGCTTACGAGAAATCCATCGAGAACCAGTGTTCGATGGTCGATGAGAATTTCACCGATATTTCGGAGATTTGCCCGAATCCCGCCCTGTTGGCCCAGCAATTGACCCACGTGGAATTGGAAAGGCTCTCTTTCATCGGTCCAGAGGAGTTCGTCCAGGCGTTCGCCAAGGAGAATCCTAATTTAGAAACGTCCTTCAAAGACATGAAAAAAACGCACAATTTGGAGCAGTACGTCCAATGGTTTAATAGACTGAGTTATTTCGTTGCCACACAAGTTTGTAAAGTTAGTATATCTTCATTATTATCATCTTTCGTTTGTTTATAAACCCATTTATTTTCCCATTTAGTATCAGAAGAAGAAAATGAGAGTTCGCGTTGTGGAATACTGGATAGAGACTGGCCGAGAGTGCTTTAACATCGGCAATTTCAACAGTCTGATGGCCATCATCGCTGGACTAAATATGTCGCCGATTTCAAGATTAAAAAAGACAGTAAGCGCGTTAATATCACTACTTTTATATTGTTGTTAAACCCGTTATTGTGCTCTTGCAGTGGAGTAAAATTCATTCGGGAAAATTCGCCATTTTGGAGCACCAAATGGACCCCAGCAGCAATTTCAGCAGTTATAGAAGCACTTTAAAAGCGGCTATGTGGAGAAGCGAAGGGGCTACAGATCAACGGCAACGCATCGTTATTCCCTTCTTTAGTTTACTCGTGAAGGACTTGTATTTCCTCAACCAAGGATGTTCGAACAAGTAATTATTTCACATCGTTTATTGACGAACTTTATGCTGAATCGATTCTGTTTAGGTTACCAAATGGCCATATAAACTTCGACAAATTTTGGCAATTGGCTAAACAAGTTACGGAATTCATGGCTTGGAAGCAAGTGACGTGCCCTTTCGATAAGGACCCGAAAATTATCAATTTATTGCAGCACGGTCCGATTTTGAACGAGAACGCTCTCGCTTTGGCCAGCTTCGAGTGCGAACCGCCCGACAATAATCAAGAGAAGGAAAGATGCAAGAATCTAAAGGCGGATTCTTCGGCTACTTAAATTAATGACAAATCAAATTCCCAGTTTAGTTATTGGTACGGCGTTACGAATTTTATACTTTTCGATTTTCACACTTGTCATGAGGAAGCGATTGGTCACAAATTTGTTTGTGGTAATTAAAAAACTCGAGGGTGTAGTGAATACGAGTTAAAACAAGAAATGAAAAATATTAAAAAGCCTTTCAGTCGTAAATTTAAGAGTTTTAATCAAAATATTGATTAGGTTGTATTTTTTGATGGATTTTGAAACGAATATTTTTATTTCAATTCTTTTTATGGATTGACGGTAATTTTATTGCAACCCGCTAATAATGATTATATTAATCAATTTATATATTAACACGTACCAATAAAAATAGCTGAAATTACTTATATTAAATTATTTTGAATGTTCATGTACAAATGTTGTTGATTTTTGGTTGCTTTATTATTCCAATATGTTTAACTGGTGTAAATAATTACGTGCGATTTTTTTATTAATTTAAATCGAATTTTATTTTTTTATCAAACTGTTTGAGTTTATTCAGCGCTTAATTGTGATTTTACAGTGTTTGAATGTATAGTATTTGATCGTGATTTTATGCACAACTTGTAATGTTCCTTAATTCTTATCGGTCTTACTTTTTGATATTACATTCTTTCATTTAAAAGCGATGTTCGTACTGGTCTTCGAACAAATTTAGCTAAGAATTTCTTGTATCTAACCCAAGTATTTTAGTGATGAAGGTGTCTCTTTCCACTTAAAAGGAATGAATTCCCTATACGCGAATAAAACGTAAACGTCAAAGCGAACAGTAATTTTATCTTAGCAATTTATAACTTATTAGATAAAAAAATGTACTATTTTATATTTGTATAATTGTAATTGTACTTTTAATTGAACATACTTAATTTGTAAATTGTTCTGTCATAAAACATGTCGATTTGTAATAATTTTGTACCTCAGTATTTTTTACAAAATATTTATGTAAAACTGAAATAACGTACTTAAACATTGACCAATGTAATAACAGTATTTGTGTTTAAAAAGTATGAAGTATTTATAATGCCAGGAATAAATATTCACAGTTTGCTAGGGTAAATCGCAACTTAATTTTCAAAATTCCTGTCTGAGAAGCCAAGTTCATTTAATCATATTACCTACATTAATACGAGAAAACTCGTAGTCGGCGTCATAGCAAAGAACGCGATCTACGAGTTATCTCGTAGTTGGCAGTCAACGTGTTAAGTGTACAAGGAATAGTTACGATTTACTCTGCGCAAAATATCTCTCTGCACTTTCTTGCGACATATTGCATACTGGAAGCTCGAATGATCGTGTTGAACAATGTTTAGTTGAGCGAATGTAAAACATAATGTGATTTTTCTACTTTAATTTGCATTGTAGTTTATAATTACTCCATGCTTGATGCTCCACACTTAGATATTACAAAAAAATGAAGACTTAATTTTGTCAGTATTCTAGTCATTAGGTAAGGATTGCATTGCTAACGAATGATATAATGCACTCTAGCTATTTATATGTAAAAATATTTGTATTTACATTGTTTTATCATTAAACAAGATTAAAAGTAATCAGCATTGTGTTTTTTCTTCGCCTGAAATTGTTGTTTCCTCCAAAAAATGGCAACAATAACTTATTGTTTTTGAATATGAAATGTTAAATCACAATTAATTAAATTCATTTCTTAACGAGGATATAAAAATTTTTTAAACTAGAAATATTTAAATTGGAAGGCGCAATTAAAACAGATGTCGCTCTAGTACAAAGCTGCGTTCATTCCGCTACTCCACAGAACACTACTTGTTAAAAATGAACTATTCTTAATAACAATAATAATTTTGACGTATTTGTGAATTAAGTGTCGTTTAAATACCTCAACAATCGTTTGAAATCAAAAATTATCATTGTAATATCGCAAAATAAATAAAAATCAATACATACTCTAGTACATTTTAGGAATCTAGTACATCAAGACTAATTCAGGGTCACTGCTGTCAACACTGTCAACTGTTTTCTTAAATTTATGTCACTTGTCAAAGTCACTTCTATAGAAAAAAATCAGAAAATGTGTGGTGGTTTCATAAAATTGTAATTTTTCTATCAGTTTTCATTTACTGACTGAAGTTTGCAGCGTCTGCAAAATTTGAATCGGTTTAATTTATCTCGCGACCGGCTTTATATATTTTTAGTAAAAAAAGAAATGGGTAACGTACACGCTTATTCCAGTGCACCACCACCCCCAGGAGCAAGGAGGGACCCCTTCGATCCGAAGCAGGTCATCGAAAACCCGGGCCCTCTGGAAGAAATTCACTCAAAGTGCAAAAGTATGTATGGCCTGAAAGTTGCGGGACGACGGCTAAATTCGCTTCGTTTCAGATGTATTCCCAACTTGCTTCGAAGGAGCGCGAGTGCTGCTCACAAGAGGACTTAGCAATCACTTCCAAATATCTCACACTATAAACATGAGTTCAGTGACTCCTAGCGGGTACAGGTTCGGTGCTACCTACGTAGGGACAAAGCAAATATCACCCACAGAGGCTTATCCTATTTTACTAGGAGATATAGACCCTTCGGGAAATCTTAACGCAACCGTTATTCATCAACTTTGCCCTAATATTCAAGCAAAATTTGGAGCACAGGTAAAATGACAAACTTTATTATCCAACTGATTCGTTTATTTATTGAATCATATGCTTTTAGATTCAAAATTCCAAATTTCAAGTAGGCCAGTTGACAATGAATTACAAACGATCTGACTACACTGCTAGTTGTACAATAGCCAATCCCGACATAATTAATGGCTCTGGTGTAGTTGTTCTACATTATCTTCAAGCCGTTACCGCCAGATTAGCCCTCGGAACGGAGCTTGCTTACCAAAGGGGACCTGGTATTCCGGGAGGGGAAATTGCTTTGCTCAGTGCAGCTGCCAAGTGAGCTAACGAAGCTATTGAATAGCCGTTGAATTTATTATTTGTTATTTTGTTTCAGATATTCAACTGATAATGTACAAGTGTCTGGTACATTGGGAGTGTCTGGTGTGCACCTTTGTTATTACCAGAAGGCTAGTAAACAGTTACAAATTGGAGTTGAATTAGAAGCTAATCACAGAATGCAAGAGGCTGTAGCATCGATCGGATACCAAGTAGATTTGGCGAAAAGTGAAGTTTTATTTAAAGGTAAGTCGTGAATAATGTTTTTTGATGTAGTTTGTACATTTTAAAATGACAATGACGTCACGAGACAGCCTGTTGCAACCCTCCAGAATCATTTAGAACTTTAAAAAAAAACTTTTTGCAAGGGAGGAATAATTCTTTTTTTTTAGGCCATATCGATTCAAACTGGTCAGTAGGGGCAGTTTTAGAAAAGAAATTGAGCCCTTTGCCTTTCACGTTAGTTCTTAGTGGATTGATGAATCACAATAAAAACCAATTTCGACTTGGTGTTGGAATATTAATCGGGTAGATTTTTTTAAATGAAGAATTAGTCTAAAAATTGATTGTTGGACTATTACCAATTAAAGTTTTATGAAGTAATACGGATGCATTTTTTAATATTTTTTGTTTCAAGATGGCAGGATAAAAACGTAAATTTGTTTAAAATTAGTTTGCATTTCAATTAGATGTTTGTTGTCTTGTGAAGAAATAATTTCAACACGCACTATTTTATTTTGCCCTGAGTGCGATTTTTAGATTTTGTAATTATTTATCTAAAAATGTGTTGATTTCAGTTTTTTTGTTACTTTTTTACAGTTATGAATTAATAGAAAATATATTGTTGAAGCAATTAAATCGTTTTATTCAGGTTTAAATTGTACAAGTCATGGTGAATATTCTTAAATATTGCTTATAAACCTTGGTCATTTCTGTGAGTTGAACAAAAAGAAAAAATTAATCAACCTGTATAATTCAAAGGATTGGAAGAAAATGCACGGGTGATTTTGGACAATTTAATTAAGACAAATAAAAATAGATATAAAAATTTGTACAAGTAGTAATACAACGGCGAGGATTGAATTTCAAATTGGCATGAATTCGAGTTTCCAAGTGACAAGACACTTTTCGTTGAAACAGCTTCGCTAGATTTCGTAAATAAATTTATTGAGTTCACGAACACTTCTGCACCTTGCTTCCTTACTTTCACTCGTTTTTTTCTAATTTATTGAAGAGTTTTAAGTGACTAGGAACATAGTTACAAAAAATTTCAATTTTTTTGAAAAAAAAAAACAAATTTAATTATTTTTTCAGTCTTCCTGGTCCTTTCTTACCGCCAACCACTTGTTTATCCTTAGATTTATTGCTTAATAAGGGGTGAACTTCTGTAAAAGAATGTTTTGCTCGCATTATAGAGGAGAGAATTGTCTGGATAATAGTACAAGTTTTTTGTCTCAATTTAAAATACGTAATTAAAAATTGAATTGAAACACACTGATCAGATCAAATTGAGATAAAAAAATCATGTATAATTTATCCTCCTTTTAGAGTTTCTACTTTAAAGCTTCAATGCAACAAACAAAACGAAATTAATAAAATGAATATATCATAACATACGTAATAAATTTATTACATAAAAATATCAACTTTTTTAAAATTAATTATAAACTATAACATTCTCTTAGCTAATGTAGAATAAAACTTTAAACTAAAATATAGCTACAATCCAAATTTAAAATATATTTAACTATTATTACCTCCATCGGACACATTTTCTAGCGGTATCTCGTAGGTTTTGTATTTCTTCTTTTTGGCCGGTGGTGGACCATTTCCTACATTCGAAGGAGGAATATTATCCACAGGTGTCCAATTATCCTCCGGATCTTCAATCTTCAAATAAATTTATTAACTAAATAACTCGTTAACTAACTAAATCTATATCTACCTCTGGAGCTATCGGTAAGAATTGGAGACAATCCGAATTCTCATTTTCCTCATCGGAACTGCAAAACGCTGCAATCGGATCGACTGTAGCAACATCAACCTAAACATAGAGTTAAATAATTAATTGATAACACATAATAAATTTATACAAACCTCTAAATCAGAATCTTCCTTGTTATCTGCTCCACTAGCAACTGATTTATCCTCATCGGTTAAATCGAATTCGCTTTCCCTTTCGTCGTATTCCACATTTTCATCCAATTCTTTAAAATCCGGAGCAAATGCAGACCAATTTTCCACTTGATTTTGAGCCCAAACGCTGACAACGCCTACATAGACACTCCAGTTAATACATAATTACACTAACATTCAATTTCCCTACCAGATGATATACTAGCAATGATAGGTCGAACAGGATGCCATGCAACGTCTAACAGTAATTCTCCTTTTGTTCCGTGCAATATTTTCACCAAGTTCCCTATAGATTTCTCCCAAATATATAGAGCGTGCTGTCTGGTCGAACCAGCACAAATGTATTCACCGTCGCCGGAGAAACAACACTTTTTCCACATCGTTCTAAAACATTGCAACCATAAAGACTTTACTTATAAATTATGCAGGCTTATTCATACTTATTGACTAAATCTTGTAATTTTTGAATGGGTTCCGGCTCGCAATCCTTTCCGTAAGTTAAGATCTCTTTACTGTCGTAGACTCTTATCACTCGATCGGCTGTGTTAATCAAGAAACAACTAGAAAATGTGAGATGTTAGGAAATTAATATTGAAATATTTACGGTAAACTTACTCTCCTCTTCTTGCAAATTCGATACTTCTCACAGCTGTAGCACTCGATGATCCTAACATTATTCTAAAACTGGCTTTTACTTCCAATGTTGTAGAGTCCAATGCCAAAACCTTCCCTCTTGCGTTACCGGTAAAGACGTAATCACCTCTTCTGTCAAACGAAGCCACTATATTCAAATCGCCCTGTAGGATATTAGATGTTAATATTTTCGAGTATTAATTAGAGTTGAACGTACATCTTCATCGATTGGTAAAACACTGTGAACTCCGTTCACATCCACAAGAACCGCAGGATGTTTCATAGGGCAAACTAGCAACTTTTCCAAACTACGCGGCTGGAATTGCACCTTTAAAACGGGACAAGGGAACCTGTATTTTTGCTCGCATTCCCCCGTCAACACGTTCCACGTGCACACCGTGTTATCGGTCGAGGCCGAGGCAATTTTGTACCCATTTCTCGACCAACTACGGAATATTTCTATCAAATATCAACGTTAGCGGTGTTTTATTGAAAGTGATACCTAATACTGCAAACGGGATGAACATGAGCTGATATTATCTTGGCGATTCCTCTAGTCAGAAAATCCCATATCACTATTCGACCATCGTTGCAACCCACTGCTAATAATGTTCCTCGTTTGTTAAACTGGCATGTTACAGCTATCGATAGGGAATCTAACGTTCCGTCGAACTCCTAAAATACTAATTGTCAGCTCCTTTAATCGCCAAAAAGAGAATAAGCTTACCTCAGGGTAGTTTTGACCAAACGATTCTGAAATAAAGCAGCACGGTTTTACTCGTATTTGATTTATATAAACGATACATACCCAGTAATTCTAAATTCATTTTTATAAACTAATATCACATACAGCATTAAAGTTTTTTTTTAATTCGTGAGAACAAGTTTTTAAACCGTTATAAGCGTTACAAACAAAAGCCGACCATGTTTTTTACATTACCTGACAAATGACAGTTGACATATTCTGTTTTCTAGACCTTTTACTTTTAAATAATGCAGCTACATTTAATTAGAATTCCATAGAAAAAATTCATTTATTTCACTTTTATAACAAATACAGTAATAAATTACAAATTGAACTTTCTTCTACTTGTTTCCATGGAATGACGTCTCCCATCTATTATCCATTCATACTGTCCATATTTACTATCAAATGTGCCTTTTTGCAAGGATTTTAATTTCAATGTAAACCTAGGTCCTAGTTCTTTGAGCCGGCACTTTTTACCATTTGCATCAAAACCGTATCTACAATAAATACGAAATAGAAATTACCGGCTTCCTCTAAGAATTTTCTACTTACCTATAGTGCCTAAAAAAGATATAATCCCTTTGATTATGAAAAGTAACAGCTCGTTGTCCTTCGAATTCGGGGTCATAATGAAACAGAGCTCCGAGCATTCTTCCTATGGTAAATCCCAATCTAGTCGTGAAATTATTCAGGACCACTTCGGGTCTGTGTGCGGTGATATCTTTGTGGTTTTTACGAAGTTCAGTGGTGATTCGAACATTGCTGACACGAAAATGGGCTGTAGGACCGTCAGGTAAGTGTATTACTAATAACCCGTTAGGTTCTTTGCGATTTTCATTTACAACTAGCACGTCTGTGTAGCCTTTTTTGATAGCGCTTCGCACGATTTTCTTCACACCAGATCGATTTCTATACAAAGATGTGGAGTTGGGAATTATTCTGGTAAGTTCCCTGCCGAATATTCTTGTTTTCTAGAAAATGCAACAATTTAAATTACAATTTAGGACAAGTGTAAGTCATAAACTCACTCTTAATGGATTATCGGAATAGGTAATCAATACTTTAGGTTCGTACGATTGTTTGAAATAATCCCCAAATTCATCCTCTTCTAAATCATCACGAATTAATTCGTTTTCATCATCTTTTAAATCGTTTATCGTTGTTTCATCTTGCTCTCTTAAGCTTTCAATAGTGTGTGGTGCATTTTTAGGTAAATCTTCTTTATCTTTTGATTTCTTTGCTTCTTTCTTCGCCTGCAATGTTTCTTAAATTATCTCAAAGTAACTAAATGCAATTGTTAAGTTTACCTTCTTTTTCTCTCGTTTAACTTTCTGGTATTGTTGCATTCGAACCTGCTTGTTCTTGATACCAGAAAATTTGTTTTCTGATGGAAATAAGACCTGCCCGCTTAAGGAAGGTTTAATATCATCCTTATCATCTTCTGTTTTGATGGTTTGCTCCTCGTTTTCATCAATATCCATGTTTTTTGGTTTCATTTTCATAGTTTTAAAATTCAATTCCAATAATAACCTAACCTGGAAAAGTCAAATCACATTTATTTACCATGTGGTTCTACGAGGTTTGTTCGTTTGTTGGATGGACGAATGGACTTACACCGGTGTAGCACCGAATCGTTCTTGTCAAACAGTGTTCAACTTTTATAGTTCCAAGTTGGTGTGCGCAACAATAGAGGACGCTACGCACACAATTCGCAAAAAATGGATTGTGTAGTGAGGTTATAAACTCTTTCTGTCATTTTGAAGAATTTTTAAATAATTCAAATTTATTTGTATTATATTAACGTTAGATGAATGAAAAAATTTTCCGTATCGATTGTAAAAAACGTTCGAAAATATTGTCGCGACGGTAAGTGATTTGAAATTGACCGGTAAAAACTTTTTGTGATGAGTGCACCGATTTTCAAAAGTTCTAATGCAACAACTATACACTTGTAGAATAATTAAGGTAATTAATTTTTATGTTTCGTACTTTACCTATTGAGTATCACGTTTTTGTTTATATGGTCGTTTTTAATTATTGCTTATAGGATATTACTTTTTTTATTAATTTTGTGTAGTTGTACTAGTAGATATAATTTGTTATTAATAATAAATTTATAGCAGTTTTGTATGTAAGTAAATATACAGAATAGGTATAAAAAACGTTTAAAACAAACGTGACAATTTTAGGTCGTAGTTGAAGTACCGTGAACGGTTTTTTTATCTCTACCGGTACTTACTCTAATAAAATAAATTTATAAAATATGTTCGTCTCCAAAATGTGATTTTTAACAAATCTCCAATACCGCGCGAATTAAAAATCAATTCGACGTCGAACGAGCAGATGCGCCTCCACGAAATAATTAAAACGCCGATAGGTATTGTTATGGCACCCGCCGCCAAATTTGTCGCTACCGGTCCATGAAACCGCCAGCATTTTCTTGGTCTCGGTGAAACGAAGTCTCGGCCGCAAATCTACCATTCCACGTTTCCCTTTGTCTCAGGCTATCGGACGTAAATAAATCGAATAATCGACGAGCGTATGCTTCATCTACTTTTCGCTCAATCGCTTTCTTCGATCGCAGCCGGCTTTTGACAACTCCTATCATCGTTTTATGTTCGTTATCTAGATTTTTTTTCGGGACAATTTTCGAATAAATCAATCGGATTTACATGGCACGCCGGTTGTTAGCGAAATTTCAACCTTGCCAGTATTTCTTCCAGTTTTTTTTTTCGTAACCCGAAACGATTTTTATTGCACGCGAAAATCGCTCGGCGGCGTCCCGTGCGGATTAAAATGGAAATCCGAGCGTTATTTTATATGTCGCACATAAATTACTTACCACTCCTTTGCTCTGCATTATACAATACGTCAATGCCAACTACATTGCGGCTAGTAGCATTGCGGCTATATTCGACGTCGGTTTTAACCCTTTCAAGGTCGGCTTTCCACTAGCCGGTGGCGCGATATTGATACTTGGAAATTCCAAAAATCAAATTTACCTAATACACCACAACGCTACTAATTGTAGTCGGTAAATAAGCTGCATTTCTGCAGGATTGTTATCGTTAATTGTCATGACACTGCACCATCGACTGGTTAGGGCATCAGTGCAATAATTCGTAGTTATATTGTCAAATTAGCTTCGAAACGGGAATAACGGCGTCTCGTTATCATTAAACGAGGTAAAAAAACTGGTGAAAGGGGTGAGCACAGACTAGCACGAATTCAGGGTCTTTGATCTGTTCATGGGAATGTGCACGCACTGAACTTAGGGACATATTTCAACCCACGCAATATACACGAAAGGACACATCAATGTTAAAAAAAGGTGTTGAACCCTAAAAAATCAGCGTTTGGTGCATAAATATGTATATAACTGAAATTGTTATTAACGTATTTAGTGCAGTAATTACCGGTAATTTTTAACCGACTCTAAAACGCACATATACTTCGAATACTTCATAAAAAAATGGGAAGACAGATATGGCCATTATTTAATTACGCTGAAGAAGTCTTCGCGTTTTGCGCTTTTATGATAAAGAACGGCGAGTTTTGTTTTTATCACACGCCACATCTTTAAGTTCGTTAACTATACTTCTTAATACAGGGTTGTTCGGTATAGGCAATTAATTACCACCTTTAATTTTAATGAGATATAAGCACAAAAATATTAGTACCTAATGAGCAATTAACGTTATGCGTTTATAGGCGTAATTAGAACAATTTGAATTTATAACGAATGTATTGATTCATAAAAATAATTGTTCCACCCTGTAGCTCATACGATTCTGTTTAATTACAATGAATATTTTTTTCCAGAGAATTGGCAGCATGGCTTGTAACTCTTCAGACTACGTGGAGGTGAGTACTCAACTGATGCTTTTTTCTTTCACCCGACCTCAAGCCAATTAAAACTTAATTTCACATTCCCCTCATTGTACGATAATTTTTCGCATTTTGTGGATATCGATGTATGCCCAACATCGAAAAATAAATTTCTTTTTACCGGTTAAGTCTGTAATAGCGGCGTATTTATGGAACATTATACGAAACGTGTGATTACTGCCCAGTCATGAATTGAAGAAAATCAATTTTTCAAGTATAGATTAATTTTACTTTTATAAATACCTATAATGTGATGTTTTTTTTAAAGATTCTTACATGCAATTTCCTTCAATTTTTCCATGCATTATGCAATGATTGTAAGTTGAAAAAATTTCACAAACAATGATTATTTAATACGTCTCTTAGTAACTGATTGATCTACAAAAACAAATAATTTACTTGTGGTACATTAGTATTAAAAACCGGTGAAATTAGTTGAATTTTCGGAACAACCGGTACAACAAACACACCTATAACGAAGATTTTTTCGCCGCATAAATAGGAAGTAATTTCTGCCGTACCAATCCGCGGGTAAAACCATCGAATCGTCGATGTCGTGAACGGCATGGGCGGCGGATATCCTCAACGTTTCCAACTCGCACCGCGTCCGACTGCTGATGAGAGCGCGGAGACCGAAGAAGTCGGCGGGTCATCATCGTCGACCCGCAGACGCCGGTACTCCTCGATCTCTCTGCCGGTAGCGGGTGGACCAACCTGCGATGAGTCACCGTTTGGTGCGCTAACCGGAAGAATTCCCCGCGTCTCCGTCAATCGATTCTGTACATGCATGATTCCTTTATATCCGTTCGAGCTGCAATTTCTAGTAGCCGCAGCGTAATCTCTATCAGTAATAACTTACGGCAACCAACCCTCTCTTGTATATATTTTTTTTGTGTCGTCGGAGAGCGACACACCTCGATCGTCTCGCCGCCGAACGGGGCCGTAATAAAAAGCGTTTTGAAAATTAATTTGAAATGTTTATCTCGACAACAGGTAGGTGACGGTGGGTCATCCCCGAAAACGCTCGGCGATCCGTATCAACGGAACGGGTATACACACCTCAGGTGATGAATATTTCATAGGTAATTTTGCTTTTTTAACGTCAAAATGTGACCGGGAGATAAAGCGACGCGTCTACGTAATAGGGATGGGTTGCGTAATTCGTAATTCTGAATTTTAAATTTTAAATTAAGACGAAACGGTCGGGAACCCTTTTCGTCGTAGCATCTGAAAAATATTACGGCGCTTCACTCGTTGGAAACGTAAAATATGAGTGCCTTTTTTTACGAGGGTGTGACAGTGTTTGTGCTAGGCGCAAGGGCAAATTATTGCGTATTATGCTATTTAATTTGGTGCGAGTTGGTTATAAAAATGAGTGAAATAAGAGGAGGATTCGTGCCCATGTGCGCTCGCCTTCCGAGATGCGTATTGCATCTGTCTATACTTCATGTTACCATATACTGCTCTCCGATTAAAAAGCAATCGCTTGTGCCACCATAACCGTATCCAAGAAAATTTAAACACCCAAAAAACTATTTAATTTCTCTTAGTTTCACTCAATATTGGACATAAAAATGATTTCTCTTATTGAATCGGAAATTGGCCCTCTTAGATAGATAATAAGATGTAAATACATTATAAATTTCCTAAAAAAAGTAGAATAGAACGCCACTGTTAACCACCTATCGCAATTATTATAGGTATAACGCAGCCAGCCACTACAAAAATATGCACATGCTCCCGTGTATGCGTTGTATGCGTGGACTAGGTATTTCCTTTTATGTCTATTCTTTTCCTACCGAATCAGAATGGGCATCCGGTCAGGAGCAAAAAGTGTTATGTTGTCGGGCGTTTATCGAGAATAAAGTATCGTATAATATAATAAAAATAATACTTAGATGTTGGATGTGCGGATTCGTTTATAAAGTTTTTGTTGTGCTTTCGTATCGGTTTATTGTGTTTATGCACGTGTCGGAGGATTCTTCCTCTTGTATTCGTTATAATTTTTAACTGTACTATCATGAACGTAGAGGATAAAAATTTCGACTTGTTTATAGTTGAAAACTATTTATATTTTAACTAAATTAATTATTCTTTTGAAAGATAGGTAATCTCTTTCACTTCCTACATTCTTTGAATTATTAATTGGATTGATTTCTAAATTAATAATGCCAACAAAAGAATTTTTAAACGGTTTAATTCTAGAATTGATAGTAACTAACAAGATGCTATAAAATTCAATTAAATTTGCATAAAAAGGTTTTGTTTCTAGCAAAGAGGGTTCATTAACATTTAAATTTACGAAAAAAGGATCGCCTATTACAAACGTTTATTATTAAAATTTCCATCGACTAAAATTACCCTTCTTGTAGACCTGGTTGGTTCGAAAATTTCCCAGTGTTTTTAATTAACCGACCATATGGGACTGAATAAACCTTTAAATATTTGGAAATTTTTTTCATACAAAAACTCGCTATAGGCGGATCATTTTACGGCGCTAGAGTGCGTAAAATAGTGAGTTTTTTGTCAGTTGTGACAAATTTCTTGCTTTCGAACGGAAGAAGCTGTCTATCTAATTTTATCTCTGCTCTTTAACGATGTCATAATATTCGTTGCGGCTCATTTGCTTCAAATATGCACGCAAAATGATTGACTATACACTTCAAACCTTTTTAAAATTACTGTCAGAATGACACAATAATAATTCAGAAATTTTCGGTAAAGCATACAAAAAAATCAAAATTTTCGTTTTTCATGTAATAAAATAATATAAACGTAACTGGCACAATGGGCGATGAAGAAGATGCTGAAGATAAGTGCATTTGCGAGTATTTGAAAAAAAGAGACCGTTTGGTACTGTTGGATAAGAATTTCTCCGTAGGTAGTCAAATAAAATTTACGCAACGCGAAGCGATAGTTAACGAGTATTTGATGAAATTGAAGAAGGAAGAAATGGATAGGGGGTTTGCGAGACCTGAACGTTTCCTACCGTGCAACCATTTTTTCACATCTCGAGAAAAAATAGAACGATCTAAGGTGTTTCAATTCATAAAAGCGATGCCGAAAGGTGGATCATTGCACAGCCACGATTTGGGCATGGCTTCTGCCGAATACCTGTATTCTCTGACGTACAAAGAAAATTTGTACGCCCTACGCAAAGGCGACGATCTCTTTTTGCAGTTCTTTAAAAAGAAAAAAGTACCCAAAAACGAAGAATGGACGTTGGTGAGCGAGTTGAGAGAAAACGACACGGAAGGTGAATTCGAAGAGTTCCTAAAATCCAAGATGACTCTAAAATGCGAAGATCCGGACGCCGCCTATCCCGATTCGGATGCAGCATGGAAAGTGTTCCAAGCTTTATTCATTAACATAGAAAAATTAATAACTTACAAACCCGTATTTCAAGAATATTTCTACCAAACGTTGAAAGAGGCCTACGAAGAGAACGTTAAATATTTCGAATTCAGAGGTTACTTACCCGACGTTTACGACTTGGACGGGAAAATTTACAAAGACGCCGAAGTGATTTGCCTGTATTGGGAAACGTTGACGAAATTCGTGTGCGATTACGTCGATTTCACCGGCTGCAAATTCATCTACGCCCCGCACAGGTTAGTCGATAAGGACGCCGTGAACGAATACGTCAGAATATACAAATGCGTCAAAGAAAAATTCCCGCGATTTATCGCCGGCTTCGATTTGGTGGGTCAAGAGGACCAGGGAGCGCCGTTACTCAACTTCCTAGCGCAGCTGTTGCAGTTGAAAGAGTGCGGTTGTAAATTTTTCTTTCACGCCGGAGAGACTCTGTGGAATGGCCAGCCGACCGATTTGAATTTAGTCGACGCTGTTATGATGAGATCCACGCGAATTGGCCACGGATACGCTCTACTGAAACATCCCCTGTTGTGCAATCTGGTCAAAGAGCGAGGAATAGGCGTCGAGATAGCGCCCATTTCCAATCAAGTGCTGAAACTATCGGGAGACATCAGGAATCATCCGGGTTGCGTGATGTTGGCCAATAATTTTCCGGTTGTTATCGTGAACGATGATCCATCGCTTTGGGGCGGAAAAGGCATTTCGTACGACTGGTACATGGCCTTTATGGGCATGTGCAATAAAGATGCCGATCTGAAGGTTCTGAAGCAATTGGCGATCAATTCCCTCAAGTACAGCGGTATGGATTGCGACGAGAAAGAGGTGGCTTTCGCTCAATTTAACTGCGATTGGAATAAATTTTTGACGAAAGTATTGAGAGGTTGTGAATGTTGTGCACTTAATAAAGATTGCGAGTAATAATTCCTAAGCAATTTAATTATTTGCTCAATTTATGACGGTAAAAAATATTCGTCTAATAGTGTTTCTAATTATAAACTAATTAACGCTATCGGTTGCTCCGAAATAAACTCTGGTTTTATCAACTACTAAAGTGGTTCATTAGCACTGGTTATCTAAAAAACCTCTTCCAAATTGACGTCTGTGCAGATTGAGGATCCCAACTAACAAACTGCCATAATCTTTATACAGAGAAAAAAATGTAGCACGTGTCATTTTTTTGTCGAAATTTAATAGACCCCCAAAAAGGTCATCATTTAACACGCTACACCTTATGTAAATTTCTGACCTTAAAGACTACCATAAAAAATTTTAAACGCATAGGGAACATTAATGATAGATCAGGAAATAGGGTACTTATAACTACTTAAATTGGACAAATATTATTTAAAACATATATTAGATTTGTAAGTTCATATATTAGGTACATATAGAAAAACGTTCCCGGAAACAATTTTCACTAGTCCATAGGTTATAAGAAGCGCCATTGAAGTACACAATAAGAAAAAAAAATCTTAAAGATGTGTTGATAAGTTTCGGTTTACATGCATGCCACCAGTCGCGGAGCAGCCTCGTGCCCGCCGCTTTGTGGGGAGCGTGGGGCGTGCGGGGGCCGTCGTAGGTGTTTTTAAGGGGGATGAAAAATCCACGAGGCAATATGCGGATGTGCACCGGCGAGCAGCTGCCAGATAAGGGTGCAGTTCAGGTTTCTCTGCGAGAGGGGGCGGATCTCGCTCTGTGAAATTCGTAGGGTGGCGGTTTATCAAGTGATATCTCCGGCCGCGATGAGATGTATTTATATATACAGGGTGCTCTGGCCCTGGAGGTGGTCGAGTGTGATAAGTCACAACAGGTGTTTTGGGGGATCATTAAAAATGATCTATCGATAAAAATGTGGCGTATTGATATGAAAAGTTGATCAATAAATAATTAATAATTGAAATGTAAATGTTGGAACATTAGCTCAACATTTATCGAAAACCTCTAGCCCTTCTTTTGATTTGGATGACAATATAAACCAAAATGTTGTCTGTAACCACTATTTTGTATTTCCAACAAGGAAATATTTAAATATTCATTATATAATTATCACAAAACACTATTCGAATATACCTATACTATTATATGGTTTTCGTCGAACTAAAGTACAGGGTGACCATCTATCTATAATTTATACATAGTACTTATCATATTTTAATGAGATTCACAAAAGGTATTATTGACACATAATTTGTTGTTGTTTAGCAACATTTTACAAGATGCTATATAACATTATTTTGTATTCTTCTGGGCGAATGTAGTTTAAATAAACGGTAAAGCTTTTTCGTTAGGTATATTTATAGCATTTTCCCATTTTATTATAAAACAGGAAGCTTTTAAATCCGCATTTGGTTGAATTCTTTCTGGTAATAAATCACGCTAGAGCAACAACTGCGGCCCCCAAATAAGAACTCTATAAGATTTTTGACAAATTTCTATGAAACTAGAACGTTGGTGGAATTAATTTATCATTTTGAGTGACGTACAATCTTATGTTGAAGTGGGGAAAAAATATTTTCCGCATTGTGGGCGTTCGAAAATCAGAATATAAAAGATTCAGAAAAATATTTCTATTAATTTATTATCGATTATTCGATGTTTTAAAAACACCAACGCTTTAAAGTTTCTTTTCATAAATTGTTTTTTACAATACGTGGGCGTTTTGCTTTAAAAATGAAAACAATGCAGACAATTTTACTTTGTAGCATTTAATCTACTGTTAGAAACTCTGTTGTTACATATTACTAAATTAGTAGGTGCTTTTGAATAAAAGCGAATATACATATATACATATTTGAATATAAAAAATGTATTTATACTTATATTATTGATTAATGTTACGGAAAAAAGTAATAGTAATCCGGTAAATATGTTAGTGCCCTTAAAATCCGTAGGTAATTCAATACGTTTATTCAGTCATGCTACTTTCATAATAGTTTTCAAAACATCTAATATAGGCCAATTTTAGATCAGATACCATAATGTATCGTTTCATTATTTCGATCACAATCTGCAGATCACCTGCTCATACCATATGGATGCGCTTACCCATTGGGTGTCCGTATGGGATGTCTCTTAACAGATCAAATAGCTCCTGAAGGGCTCAAAATGGTTAGCAAATTGAGTTGTTTAACAACAGAAAATACGCCGGGGTCTTTTACAAATCTTAAATACGTACCATATACTATATACGGTAGAAGTGAGCGATTTTTTTTCAGTTGAAATCAATGAGTCTGTCCCATTGCTTAGATAACTTATTATCACTTCTAATAAATTATTTAGATTAATAACCTTCAGACGATGTACGTATACGGAATGGAAAACACTCATGAATTTTTAAGGTTGATTAATAATTTACCCGTCATTCTCATCGACAAATTGGACCGTTATCGATTCCCCCGATCTGTCACACGCACCCCTATCAGATGGTATTATATCGGCGAAACGTCCGAATGACAAACTATCCTATCGAAGTTAAACTCGATAATCCGAGGCGGCGGGGAGTCGAAGGATACTAATACGGATCCCGATTCTGATCCTTTTATTTACAACACGGTTATTACCGTTTCACGTTTGACAAATGCCATTATCATGCACATAAAACGCGCTCGAATTACACATAAATAAATAGTAATTGGTGAAAAAAATTTCAAATGTTTGGTACATTTTTTTAGTTTTGTATACAAATGTTTTTAATGGTTTCCACTTATTGTTTATTGTAAAAATAAAATAGTTAAATAATGTATGTAGGTATTTACTGTTTACTGAAAAATAATAATAGTTCCATATTTTTGTTCTAATATTATATTTGTACTAAAATAGAATGAGAGTAGGAGAGTGGGGTATATGGGGTATAATAAGTATTTTATGACAGACACCTTGTGCCACTTCCGAATTATATGGCGGTGTCGGATTTCGCTTTACGATGTTTGCACGATGACAGATGCTGAAACTTGCACAGCCCCCCTAACGCAGGACGCTTTCGTGAATTTAGACAGAAAATGAATATTTAAAATTTTAATGTCTCCCCGCACCCGACGTTATTTTCAATTTAATCTTCGATACACGCGCATATCTCCATCGGAATTGACTAATCAAAATAAATACCGAGAGGGTTTCGCTTTAATGCGACCCTTTTGTCGACGATAAAAAAAACTGACTTGTACCAAACTCTTTTAACCCCTCTTTATTCATTGAATTTGACCTGTTGAACTCGACAAAGGGGTTTCAAGCAATCAAATTTCCGTTATTTTAAGAACACGTTCCTATATGCCAAATATAAAACCAACCCCTCTTCAATTTCTTTTATAATCCGTATGCAAGTTTAATCCTGTCGTGTTAATTTAATTCTTCTCGCTTTTTGCCGGAATATTCATGCAGTTGAAATAAAACGGTAACTATAGGACCGCATATGTGCGTTGATAATATGAAAAACCTATCTTCGTCTCGCATCAAAGGTACTTCTAGCGGTTTACGGGCTCTGAAACCTATAAACACGTGCGAATGAGATCATTTTGTGGTAAGTTTCATAAACATGCGCACGCAAGATGTGTCGTACTGATTGCGTTATTAGGGAGAGATGTCTGGTTTGACAAGAATGAAGGTATAATGATAAGAATAATAAGAAATGATAAGAACAAAAAAATTGAAAACGATGTCATCTGCTTTGCAGTACAGTTAGATTTTAACAATAGAAATATAACGGAACGATTTTTTTAACAGGTATATAAAAGCTGGGATATACTTGTACAGGGTGTCCACAATTAGGTACTTATCGAATCATATAAAGTTATGGTACATGTCAGTTGGAGCGAAAGGAATAAATCCTATTCTCTCCTACATACATGAAATGAGTATACAGTTAACTGATTATTTTTTTAAATTATGCAGGTACATTCGATTATTCAAAATATCTAATCATTGCGGTTTATTAAGCATCGAATGAACCCCGAAATTGTTCAGCTCGGATGCACTTGGAAATTAATTACAATTATCCGAGCAGCGTATGATTATGCTTTCGTGGAGAAAATTCGAGAGAAAAAGAGAGCGAGTTCTTTAGAGGTTTGCATAGGAAGCGGCGGTGGAGTGAAGTGAAGTGGCGGGGTTCGAATGTTTGTCAAAGAAGGTACCTATGTATAGCGAAACGGAGGAAGTGGAACACATACATGAACACATTTTTTGAGGGTGGTTGGATAGGAACCAGACTAGCGCCAGGTGCAAACTCAGACGGTCCGTCATAAGTCACATTGCGTTGCCCTGCTTATTTCTCTTTCTCTTTCCGATTAACAGTACGGTACCAAAAGGCATATTTCTGTTAGAGGACATTCTCATTAAAATTCTCTTTTTTAAATATCCAAGAGTGCATGTGATAGGAAATTATTTTTTATAAGCATCCAAAATGTTTTTTATATTCCCTCTATTGGGTAAACGTATTTTTGAGTTCCCGTTATTTAAATTTAAAGACAACTTTGCGACTGTACTATTGCCCTCGTTGTCCTCTGACCTTAATCGTCTACATGGTTGCGAAGGGCTTGGGGGTTTGAAGAAGTGCTGAATTGGTCCAGCTGTCCTCCAGATTTTGGGTCGAAGGAGCACGAGACGGACACGCGTGCATGGCTTTTGATAGATTATTCGAATTTAAAGCACCACCTTGCCCCATACACTCACACGCGGAATTTCCTTTCGAACATCAGGAAGGATTTATTAACACTTAAAGCGCCGTACGTGGAAATAATGAAGCGGTTTAAGTCGGTTCGAGTGTCGTTGAAGTATTAATTTCGTTTGCGCGGATTTATAAACAATCCGCAGTGTCCGGATCAAAATTTACGGTTCGGCGATAAAAATCGTAACAATCGTTGTTTAAATGTTAATGGAGAAACCGACGAAAATGAACTCAAAGAGAGCATTAAGAAGATGTGATACGGTTTCGAAACATCGTGGATGATGATGACAGCTGGCGGGCGGTCGCGCGGAT